GGGATGGGGAAGGGGATGGGGAAGGGGATGGGATTGGATGGGGATGGGAATAGGGATGGGATGGGAATGGATGGGGATGGGATGGGATGGGGATGGGGATGGGATGGGATGGGGATGGGGATGGCAGTGAGAGTGATGATGGAAGGGGTGTTGCTTGAGGACTGAATGGGATATGGGTAGGATGGGAAAGCTCTTTCCTATGGGAAGCTCCAGGCTCTAAGAAAACCCTAAGGGGATCCCAAAAGAGTTGCTTTCTGGTGCTGTGCAGCTTACCTCACGATGTCGTGGCGGTGCTGTGGAGCTGCTGTGCAAAATGGGTGAGGAATGTCCCAACTTCAGGGCTCCCCTATCCCCACAGGGTCTCTTGGTGCTGCCATGGAGGGGTCCTCAGTGCTCAGCCCCTCCTCATGGGAGAAACGGCGCGCCTGGGCCCGGCAGAGCCGCTGCTGGAGGACCACAGTGGTGGAGGAGGAGGCGGCTGCAGCCATGCAGGACATCCCAGAGCTGCAGTCACCCCACCTGGACGATGTTTTCCTCGAAGGTCCGCGATGCCCGTGAGCACGTGGGGGTCTGTGCACGGGGATGTGTGCATGCAGAGGGTTGTGGGCTCACAAGCGGATCGTTTCACGTGCCGACGCATCCGTGTGCGCATGTGTGTGTGCGTGTGTGCAGAGCACATCAGTGCTTGCAAGCAGCTGTGCACGTCCCTGAGCTTGGCAGCCAGCTCTGCACCACGCCGAGTTGGTGACCACAGCAAACCCGGCTCCCTCGTGCTGCTTTATCTCATCTCTGCTCCCTGCAGGAAGCTCCTCCAGCAAGATAGAGACGTGGCTGCAGGACTGCGGGTGAGCTGCGGGGTCATAGGGTGCACAGTGCCTCCCTGTCTGTTCCCTGGGGCTTTCTGCAGCCAGGGGGGAGATGCTGGAGCTGCACAGGAGCTGCAGGGATGCATGCGTTGTGCACAAGGCACTGCTGTCCCTTCGCTCCGTGCTCAGCCACTTTTGGCAGCAGCGGTGCTGTGCTCACCCTCTGGGCATCCCCATCACACTGCCCAACCCAACCTCATCCCTCATCCCTCATCCCTCATCCCTCATCCCTCATCCCTCATCCCCCATCCCTCATCCCTCATCCCTCATCCCTCATCCCTCATCCCTCATCCCCCATCCCTCATCCCTCATCCCACATCCCTCATCCTTCATTCCTCATCCCACATCCCTCATCCCTCATCCTTCATCCCACCGTGCTCAAATCCCCCTTTCCCACCCCCCCACTGCTTGACCTCATGGGGTTTTGCTCCGGGTTCAGGTCATCCTTGGAGGCGCTGCCGGAGGAGTTGTGTTCATTGGGTCCCTATGGTACGTGGGTGCTCTGTGGGCACAGCACGAAGGGGGCTGAGGGTGGGGGTCCCACCTCTGATCCCCGTTGCCCCTCGGGGCGATGCTGTCTTGCAGGCTGTGGGAGCAGCAGCACCAGCTTTGAGGACGACCTGACGCTGGGAGCTGAAGGTAGCAGCCACCCCTGGGGGTCCCTTCCTGTCCCCAACGCTCTGAGCATCCCTGGAGGATGCAGGGACAGGGAGCACACCTATGGGGGCAGGCTGTCCTGGATGGTTTTGCTATGTGGATGGGGCTGCAGACACAGGGCCTGTCCCCAAAGCTCCCCAGACGTCCCCTCCCATTCCCTGCCACCTCTCTGTTTCCTTTTTGCAGCTCTTCTGCTACCAGGGAACCATAAAACCTTCGGCAGGTGAGAGCTGGATCCCATCCCTGCACATCCCCACCTCTCAGCCCCGCTGCTGCCAGCACTGCTCTGTCCCCAGGGCTGTCCCTATTGCTGTCCCCAGGCTGTGACACCCCGTGGCATCTCTCCACGCAGGGCTCTGCAGGGCAGACGCCTCAGCCTGGGGCACAGCATGGCATCCAGCGCGCCCTCCGGCCTCACCAACCTGACCAGCTCCAGGTGGGGACCCTGATGGATGCGGGGGTCGTCCGTTCACGAGACCCATTCCTACAACAACCAAACCCCATATCCACCCTACAGCCAACCCTACGTCCATCTTTTATCTAACCCCAATCCTATAACCACCTACATCTAACCCTAACCTTACATCCACCCCACATCCACCCTACACACAACCCTATACCCAACCCTACATCCAACCCTACATCCAACCCTACATCCAACCCTACACCCACCCCACATTCACCCTACATCCAACCCTACATCCACCCTACATCCACCCTACACCCAACCCCACATCCACCCCACATCCATTCTATACCCAACCCCACATCCACCCCACACCCACCCTTCATCCACCCTACATCCATTCTGTATCCCACATCAGCTCTACATCCACCCCACATCCACCCTACATCCACCCCACATCCATTCTATACCCAACCCTACATCCACCCTACACCCAACCTCACATCCACCTCACATCCATCCTACCCACCCTACACCCAACCCTGTGTCCACCCCACATCCATTCTATACCCAACCCCACATCCACCCTACACCTACCCTACATCCAATCCCAATCCACCCTACACCCAACCCTACATACACCCCACATCCATTCTGTATCCCACATCCACCCCACATCCACCCAACATCCACCTTACACCCAATCCTACATTCACCCTACATCCATTCTATACCCAACCCTACATCCACCCCATATCCATTCTATATCCAACCCTACACCCAACCCCACATCCACCCTACACCCAACCCTACATCTACCCTACACCCAACCCCACATCCACCCCACATCCATTCTATACCCAACACCACATCCACCCCACATCCACCCCACATCCACCCTACACCCACCCTACATCCACCCCATATCTATTCTATACTCAACCCTACATCCACCCCACATCCACCCTACGCCCAACACCACATCCACCTTAAATCCACCCCACATCCACCCAACATCCACCCTACATCCACCCTACACCCAACCCCACATCCACTCCACATCCATTCTATACCCAACCCTACATCCACCCTACACCCACCCTGCATCCAATCCCACATCCACCCTACACCCAACCCCACATCCACCCCACACCCACCCTACACCCACCCTACACCCAACTCCACATCCACTCCATATCCATTCTATACTCAACCCTACATCCACCCCACATCCACCCTACACCCAACCCCCCATCCACCCCACACCCACCCTACACCCAACCCCACATCCACCCTACACCCCTAACCCTACACCCCCTTCCCTCCCGTAGCATCTCCGAGGTTCTCGATTGGTGCCAGGCAGACGCTGAGGAGATCCTATACAATTTGGGATTTGTGCAGCCCGGGCCGGGCGCTGTGTCTCGCATCCCTTCGCGCTTCTTCTCCTCCCCATCCCGAGCCAAAGGCATCGACTTCCAGCTCTTCCTGAAGGCTCAGGTGCAGCGCTTGGAGATGGAGGATCCCTGCCTGATGCTGGCCAGTGAGTGGCACCGGGGGGATGATGATGATATGGGGAGAGGAGGAGGAGGGGGGCTGCATTCTGTGCTTGACCCCCCGCCCTGTCTGTTGGTGCTGGGGTTGATCTGCTGAGCTGCGCTTTGTTCCGTTGGGGGTGGTGGTACAGCTCCCCATAGAAAGTGGGGTTGGTGGCCCTATAGAAACTGGGAACGGTGGTCTCGTGCGTCGGTTCCCCCATAGAAACTGGGGACACTGGACCCATGTATCAGATCCCCCATAGAAAGTGGGGAATTGTAGCCCCGTGCCTCAGTTTCCCCGTGGAAAGTCAAAATTGTGGTCCTGTGTGTCTGTTCCCCTATAGAAACAGGGGATGGTGGTTGTCTCATGCCTTGGTTCCTGCATAGAAACTGGGGATGGTTGTCCCATGTATCTCTTCCCCTATAGAAACTGGAAGTGGTGGTTCCATACATCATTTCCCCCATAGAAATTGGGGATGCTGCTCCCGTGCTTCAGTTCCCCTACAGAAAGCGGGGAATCGTGGTCCTGTGCCTCAGTTTCCCCATGGAAGCAGAGTGTCGCTCCATTTTCCCAGCTGACCAGAGCACGACCAGCTATCAGGGCCCACATAAAGCACCCTTCCCCGCCACCCTAATAAACCCTCCCCTCTTTCCCTTACCCCCTTCTCATCCTCCCCAGGTCGCTTCCAGCAGGTCCAGGCTCTGGCTGCCACGGCGGATGCTTTCTTCTGCCTCTATTCCTACGTCTCCAAGACCCCCCTGCAGCGCATCTCCCCTTCACACCTCACCTGGACCAACCCCAGCATCCCCGAAATCCGCATCCCCCCCTCTCAACCCCCCACCCTCTCACCCGCAGAGCGTTTGAGGGCGGCCGTATCCAAGATGTGTCTGTATGCCCCCCCCCGGACCGGGGGTTCCCTGGGCAGGGTGGTGAGGGAGGTGCTGGAACGCAGCCGGGGGGAGAGGTTTTGCTTTGATCCCGATGATGTGGAAAGGTTGGGGGGGGTTGCTGGTTGTGGGGTGGCTGTTGGGACGTCGCCACGTGGAGGTGGGGGGCCCTCGTGGCTTGATCAGGGGGTCCCCATATGTCACCATCAGCGAGGGATGGAGATGGCTGTGGGATGTGGCCAAAACTCCACGGCGGGGGCTCTGCTGTGGGCAGGAGATGCTCCGTGCCCCCCAGGAACAGGACGGGGTGACACAGAGGATGGACAGCCATGGGTGAATGTCACCTCATCCCCAGCGTTGGGTGCAGTGGTCACCAATAACAGCTGGCTGTGTGCCCCCCCTGCACAGCCGGGACACAACGGGGACTCAGAGACTTCACCCAGGGGGATAAAAGGGGGGCAGCACCCAGGAGAGCCCCCACACCCCTATGGGGCACCGCCCTCTCCGTCCCACTGCGCAGCGGGTGGAGACCAGTGGGGTCAGCAGAGCAGAGGATGGAGCAGAGGATGGCACTGGGTGGGTGATGCTGACTGGCAGCAGAGCAACGCAGCGGGGCTGCAGCCCCCCAGGAAGGGTCCCACTGCAGGGAGCTTCGTGTCCCACCACCCCAATTGGGCTGAGACCAACGAGGCCGTGGACTCCTTTGAGATGGAAGAGGTGAGGGGGGTCAGCGCTGCTGCTGGGGAGGAGGCTGGAGGTGGGCAGCGGGGTGGGCAGGAGGATATGGAGCAGCAAACGGCCTTGGTGGGTCAGCAAGGAGGAAGGCTGCCAGGGTCTGAATGATTGAGAGCTTCAAATGGAGCCTCTTTCAGGAGGGAGCTGTGGGAGTGCCATCCTGCTGCACGCACACCTGAGTGCAGACGTTGGAATGCTTGCACACCAAACATCCTTGCACGCACGCACCTCTGCACCCACACACAGAGCAACCCTGCACACGCTCACGCCTGCAGATCGTCTGCAAACACAAACGTGTGCACAGTTGCATATGCACATGTGCACTGGTGCACACGCGTGCTCGTGGGCCACCTTTGCACGTGGGCATACGTGTGCACACGTGCTCCAGCCCTTCTTTGGCACAACCACTCACTGCGCCCTGCTGTGTTTGTGCAGGTAGCGAGCGACAGCGATGACGACGACGATGATGATGATGAAGATGATGATGAAGAAACCAGCTGCTCTGTGAGGTTCCGCAGAAGTAAGCCGTGGCTCTTTCCACCCGTGTGCACAGGTTGAGGGGTGTGCGGGGGGATGCAGAGGTGCAATGCATCCCATCCCCACGCTCCAGGTTTGATGCTGTATGGGGTCGGTGGGCACTCGGACAGCAGCGGCTTCGTGGAGGAGCCCCTTCCTGAGCAGACAGAGTGAACCCACCGGGGGTCTCCTGCCTGCACCACCC